TCATTAGAAATGTTTGCTTTTTTTAATAGTTGTTATAAATATCAGGAGAGACCTCAATAAATCAAACTTGCTGGATGCAAAGGCTGAATGTGAAAAAGATAATTCCCCGTCTAAACATTTGCCACTGCTGCTGAAGGTCCTGAAGGGAAGCAGTGGAGTCGATCTGCAACAGCTGCACTCCAAAGACATTCATGCTGAGCTGGAAGCAGAATGAAAGAACAGCATGTTGGTTTCAACCTCATTTAATTAGACCCACTGTATTCGCTCTGATTTCTTAAAAGAGACACTAGGTGGATTGATGTGTTTCTTTCATCTGTAGGTAATAACGTTTTCTCACCATGTGCTAAGTTAGAAAGGGCCGCTGAGATGTTGCATCATAAGGGCAGAGTGGAATATTTCTGTGCATTAAAACATTTCAATAACTTGACTTTTTTTTGTTTTTGTCATATAAAGAAAATGTGAACTCACACCCATTGCGACTCAACAGGCAGTGTTATGAAGTTAAAATGACATCTTTCAGCATTGAACTCAAAGCCTTAAAGTCGTAGGGAAGCGGCTGTTCCAACGGTTACAGTCCCGAATTCTCCCCAGTGGTGCACAACTTTACACAAGTGAAAGTGATTGGTTGTTTATCAAGGGGGTGGGATTGTTGTGGTGGAAGGTTCGCAAGCAAGTTTGATTGTAGCCGGTTTCTTGGAAGCATCGTTGCTAACCAGTTAGCAACTTAGTGCTAGTAGGTTCCCAATGGGAAATTCCATTGGGACCAAGTAGCACTAAATTGGTGAATTAGTATCGACACTGTCAAGGAACGCTATGGACAGAGGAAACATGCAAGAGAAGGAGAGTTTTGTGTCGGAGGTCGTGGATGAGTCTCCTCCATTATACATTTTTTATTTAGAGGAGGAAAGCGGGGATGGAGATGTTGTGGAAAAGGACGCCAGGGCGGCAGAAGCTTGGTTTGGTGTAGAAGGCTTACAGCCGTTCATGTTTGAGCCCTTGCCTCGCAACGCTGCCAGTTCTGTTAGCTCTACACCTGCTGAAGACACAGACGTCCATCCCCGTGAACACTGGGGCGGAACTCAGTGGGAAAGGAAATTATTCTTATTTCTTGTTTCAACCTTTGCGTATATTTGCTGTGACATATGAATGAAGTTGCTATGACTGAAAAAATTTGATTGACAGATGACTGTTGATATATTATTGGCCGAATTTAGGTGTTCATGCTGACGTATAACTAACTGGCCTGCATAAGATAACGAAAAACCCGACAGATTTTAAGACAGGATTTATTTTAAATAGAAATTTATAAAGCATACATTTATATACATGTTTAAGCCAGAAAGATTTGACATTTAAATATGACTTCTCTACGACTTTAACACTAGAAATCCCAAGGCTGTCATTTTGATGATTCTTAGATTTTAAAGGGAAAGAAATTTATTTACATTAATCATATGTTGGTCATGTTAACTGACTATTCCAGTTACAATATTTCATTCATTTTCACGTATTTTTAAAAATAATACCTTGATCTCCGACACGGCTCTATTAATTGCATTGTTAATTTTTCCTGCATTGATTGACAGTTCATTCCGTTGCCTAGCAACCAACATTCTACCTATAACTATTTGGCTAAATCAGAAAAATGGCTTTCAGAAGAAATCTAACAGCGAAAAAGGCTTTATAAATGCTTCAAAATATTGATAGTGTTTCGGGCGGAGAGGGAGAGACCGCTGAGGACGTCCAGGTAGGAAGCCGCTCAGATTATATATATATATATATATATATATATATATATATATATACACACACAAACCCATTCATTCCCCCTCATATATACTTTAACCCTCACTAGTACTGTTTGATAAAATGTCTCTGAGGAAGTAGTATTTTCATTACACACTGTCTGCACACTTTAATATGGTGAGGCGAAAAGTCAATCCCACTGAATGCTGGAACCAGGCTGTGGAAACAAAGCTTTATAGAAAAGAAGCTCATGCTTTTTCCAAGAGTTGCCTCAGTAAACTTCCCTTTAATCCTCCAACAGCTCCTCTCCTCTTTCTATTATGCCCTTCTATTTCCGCTAGTCAAGTTAGCGTATGTGATTGGGTTGATTTTATTCTGAAATTCTCCAGGACTCTTTTGTTCTGTCTAATGTCTGACTTTTCCTTTTTGGTACAATTTTCTTCTTTTGGAAACTTTTGTTGGGCCTTTATTCTAATGAAAGAGACTTGTGGTTACCGCACCGCAGCAGGGTGAGCCTGGTCTAAACATAACACCATTTAAACTTTCCTTTGGAAACTGCTGAGAACGGTTAGAGCACGGTAACAGAGATAACTGAGATAACTGTACTTTTGTTTGCATAATTCCCACCTTGGGAGCCAATAGGAGGTGAGGAACAGTTCTAGCGTGATGTGTAAATGGTTGTAAGAACCATGCTTGGAACTGTTATCTGATCCACAATCGATACGAACTCGGCGCGGATCGGTTTCAGAGCGGCAGTGTAAACTGGGCATTAGTTCCCTGACACATCTGGCTTTTAGAGACCTTTCAATTTTTTCTATAGGACTCTGTTGTTTACAGATGTTTGTTTATAGATATGTTTATAGATATATAGATGTAGTCCTGTTTCTCTGACTGTAACTGGCTGGATGTGCTCTCTTCATCCTCTGACATGGGAGCTGGCTCAGAGCTCGTCTGCCTGGCTGTGTGTTTCCTGGACAGGCCCGCCTTTTAAAGCTGCTTTTTGTATCTCTACTTCTGTCTTCTTGAACCCCAGTCGGCCTCGGCAGATGGACGCTCACACTGAGCCTGGATCTGCTGGAGGTTTCTTCCTGTTAAAAGGGAGTTTTTCCTCTCCACTGTCGCTACAAGCATGCTTAGTGTGAGGGATTGGATTAAATCAATGAGTCGACGCAATCAACTGGTTTTCCTTAGATAGGAAGCTTTGAATCAATCTGACTGGATGATCTGGTGAACTTTGAAGTGCCTTGAGATGACGTGTTTTCAATTGGCGCTATATAGATAAACTGAATTGAATTGAATTGTATTGTTAGAGGCTTATGGAGGGATTTTAACCAGCTTTCCTTAAGCCTAACCTTTTTTATACAAGTTCAGAAACCTGCAGGAGAGACCCAGTTGTTTCTAAGTACCAGTAGTTTCACTCTTACATTGAATTTCATTTAAATAAGAGGTGCTTCCCTTATTTAATGTTCCATCCAGTTTAGGTAATGCATAAGTATAAGTGGCAGTATACTAGTCCCACTGCATGTTTTCCATACGGTGTCAAAATCGTGCCAAAAACCAGAAGAGTGTTTTAAGCAATCACTCTAGTGCAATTATTAATCACAACCGTGCCTTTAATAACCAAAAGTGGGCATAGCTGTGATCACGTGCATGTATGGTTATTTGAGCGCTCTTGAATGTAGCACCGCTTGCAGAAAAAAACGCCCACTTTCCCCATGTTTGCTCTTCCAGAAAAATGATGTTCCCTCGCTCTATTTAAGGTTTTTTTCTGTCAATCGGGGTGAGTTGCTGTTCTGATGGATTTGATTGACCGGATTTTCAGCTCCTATTCGGTGACTTTTTGAATCAAGTAACATCCCCTTCGCCTTTTTTCTGACACCCTCTGACCTTGCACACTGCAGTGTGTATTCAGGCCATTTTTTTTTTATTGAGTATATGTTGCATTTTGACCACAGTAACGTAATTTATTATTACCATTTTCAGACAATTTACAGTAAGAAATAAGGGTAAATATAATGCTTGTTAATGGTAAACATTGTTTAGTGCATTTCTATTTATGTTCAAATTATTTAAATCAAATCGGAACAAGAAATTTAAATTAATGTTTACCATTCACTTTTTATATGATACACATTTGTTAGTATTTCTAAAATTGATTTAATTATTGTTATTATTTGATCATTTCTGAAATTGGAATTGTTTTATTTATTATTATTTGTTCTTTTGATTCATTTATATTATTTGTTAATTTGATGTATTTATTTTATTTTTTTGTTACTATTATTATTGTCTGAAATAAATAAATATTCATTCATTCATTCATTTTGATTCAGATACCCCACACCCCCTTTATCCCAGTACTATGGTTAAAAAAATAAAATTCTAGGGGAAACCCTGAAGTTTATTATTGCTGATGTTGTACGGTATAAAAATACACATAGATTGTCAAATACAGCTCTGCACTTTTTCAAATAAAGGGATTTGGTTTACAATGATAATAATCATAAGTCTGGAACGTTGTTCTATGTCTGCTATTCTCCTGCCATTACACTGCAGTAAGGCTGGGAGTCAGTTTGCTTCGCCTCCCACTGCCCACAAAAGGGTACAAAGAGCAAAAATAATCAGGAAATAGGTGAAATTTGTTCTGGAAAGGAACAGCCAGTGCTTCCATCAGCAATATCTGCAGAGATGATATACACGACCCTGGAAAAAACCCCAAAAACTGAGTCCTGGATGGTCTCTTTGACTTCCTCCAGCCCTATTGCCTGAGTCAGCTACTGTTCCCTACTATGAACTGCCACTTTTAATTTCCCCCTACCTCGCCCACTTGGCTGCTCACTCCTTCCCCCCTCCTCAGAACGCCTCTTAGAACCGCTGAGTGATTCCCTGTGTCCATTTCCCCCCCATTACGGTGGAAAGCAGCCAGAACAATCTCACCTAGCCCACCCCGCTGCCACCCTATGCCTTTTAAACCCTTTTAGGAAGCTACATGTGGATTCTGAATCGTCTGTTTTCCATTATTATACTTCCATTTCATTAAACAGCACAATAGCAGCTTGCAGCACATTTATTATTCTGCTTTTATGCTTTTTCTTATGAATCAAACTCCTAAACTATGCGGTTTGTGCTGATTGAACAGCGAGGTGGAACATGCTGCATATGAACTCTGACTGCCTTCTCTTTCTTTAATAAGCTCCTCATCAGTTTCACATCAGCCTGAAGTAACTTCCTTTCCTTCCTCTGCTCTTTTGCAGACTTTGGAGGCCGTGCTGAACTTCAAGTACTCCGGAGGAGCAGGCAAAATGGAGGGCTACTACAGAGAGCTGTCACTGGGCGTCCATGTAGACATAGAGCCTTCTGTGTTTTTTACCAGAGTCAGCGCCCTTCCTGCTACCAGGTAAAAATAAACACATTATCCTCTACAGGTTAACAGGATCTGAGTGTTAAAAAGTGAATCTTTTAGTAGGTTTGACAGGAAATGTATTGTTTGAATCATTTATTACTCTATATTATAAACAGCACTGATTGGTATTCATCAAGATTGTTATTTTTAATTAAGGGTCTTTGTAGCTATTTATTATCTACTGGGATGATTATGGAGAAGTTGCTTTAAATGTGCTTGTTAATTGGTAAAAACTCTAGGTTTTAATTAGAGATGGACCAGTACAGGTTTTTCTGTTAAGGCTCATACCAATACCAATAATTTTGACATCAGTCTCAACCAGAGGTCACAGATTAGTGGACCAGGGTCTGGATGCGGACCCACCTGCTGGCTGATCTGGACCCAACCTGATTTAAAACATTTATAAATTACCGCATGTTGTCTGACGGCAGTGTCTAACTTAACTTGGGCCGCTTCTCTTGTTAATACGGTAAAGCCCTCCAGAGCGTCCGGCACCAGGCTGCACGTGATCCAAATTTTCCAATGAGCTGCTGTCAGTCTGGGTTGCTGCTGCTGCTACCTTTAGACAAAGCAGGCAAACCTGTGGCAAGCCGGGCGATGGGAAAGAAGGAGAAGATGATGAGAAAAGAAGGCAGAGAAAGTGTGGACTGCTGGAAGAACTGCGGTGAACTGGTGACAGAAAAGTGAAATGTGCTCAAAGATGACCCTGCACATTTAGAGGATGTTTGGCTCAACCTGCTGCTGTGAAGCAGGATTCTCCACCATGAACAGAATCAAAAATAAATATTGATCCAGTCTCAAAATTTAGAATGGCTTTGTCTCCATTCAAACCCAGGTTTAAAGCCTTGCAGGGCAGCATAAAGCCCACTGCCAACATTAAGACAGAAAAAAGAAAGGAAAAAAAAAACGGTGAGTTCATATCTGCGTTAACTGCGACACACATGGAGACAACCTGGTTTCTGAGCATAAACCATGATTTACAAACAGAAACTAAAGCTCTTCAAACCTGTACTGAGGACATCAAAGAAGTTGACCAGTGAGGCTGTGGAGGATCTTCAAGAATGTCTGGATTCTACTGACTAGGATGGATTCAGAGCTGCTACCAACAGTCCCAGGGATTTCACAGAGGCTGTGACATTATACATCAACTTCTGTGAGGACTACTGTGTTCCATCGCAAACCAGGGTGAGTTAAAATAACGACAAACCCTGGTTCACAGCCCAACTCAGAAGGTTAAGGTTGGATAAGGAAGAGGCCTTCAAGAGTGGGGACAAATGCAGATTAAAATGCTAGTTCAGCGAGGCTGTTCTCTGAGAAGCTCCAACCACTTTTCAGCCAAATGACTCTGCATCTGTCTGGAAAGGGCACAGACAAATTACAAGCCGGAACCCCCACACCCCCAGTGTTCACAGACATTTTTAACACCTCACTGGCGATGTGTCACATGCCAACCTGCCTCAAATCCTCCACTATTATCCCTGTTCCCAAGAAGCCAAGGGCCAGAGGACTTAATGACTTCAGACCCGTCGCCCTGACCTCTATGGTTATGAAGTCCTTTGAGCGCCTTGTGCTTTCACAACTAAAGGAGATAACTGACCCCCTCCTGGACACCCTGCAGTTTGCCTACCGAGCCAACAGGTCTGCAGACTGAAGACTACGCTTCCAATTTGGCCCTTCACTAGATTATTGTATCTCAGAGCTGGGACACAATAATCCCAGCTCTGCTTCAGGAGAAGCTCTCCCAGTTGAGTGTGCCTGACTCCACCTGCAGGTGGATTACAGTCTTCAGTCTGTAAAGCTTTTGAAGTACATGGACGACCCCACTCTCATTGAACTCATATCTGATGGTGACGAGTCCACCTATAGGTGGGAGGTTGACCAACTGGGAACCTCGTGCAGGGAGAACAACTTGGAGCTCAACGCTCTAAAAACAGAGGAGAAGGTTGTAGACTTCAGGAAGAACTCAGCCCCAGCTATCCCCATCAACCTCTGTGACTCCACACAGAGGTGCTATCATCTCACAGCACCTAAAGTGGGAGCTGAGCATCAACTCCCTCACCAAGAATGCCTAAGAGAGGATGTACTTCCTGCAGCAGCTGAAAAAAATCAACCTGCCAAGGACAATGATAGGGCACTTCTACTCCTGCATCATTGAGTCCATCACCTCCTCTGTCATCATCTGGTACGCTGGTGCCACCGCCAGGGACAAAAGCAGTCTGCAGGGTGTCATCCAGTCTGCAGAGAAGATGATTGGCTGCCATCTTTCATCTCTCCAGGAACTCTACGCTTACACTCTAATGCTACGTTCACACCAAACGCAGCAAGAGCAGCAAAAACGCGTCTGCTGCTTCATTTTTGATGCTTGTACAAGTTTAGTTGTGACGCGCAGCAGGAGCAGCAAAGCTGCTTCAGTTGCATGTTGGAAAAGTGGGTCTGTTGGGCGGAGCTACTCTATCTTTTCTTTGCCCGGCAGCAGTATTTGCTGTGATCAGTGGGAATAAAGTAGTTTTAATATGTTTTTAAGTGAGAAAGTCCCCATTAAAACTTCATCAGTGCATTCAGTTCATCCAGTTTACCATCCTGCCTTCAAATATTGTTTCGCTGTCGGAGCCGCTCAGATCCCCACACATCGGCGGTGTGCTGTCAGTAGGAATCCCATTCAACAGCAGCCTCTGGCCCGGTCGCCTCCTCGCGACAGGCACCAGGATAATAAAAGCAAACATGCTTTGCCAGCAGGTTTCTACATTTTAAGTTAATTTAGGCGTTAATAAATTGTTTCAGAGGAGTGATCACAGCGCTCTGTAACATCAGCGATGTGTCTGTCTCGCTGCCAGTTCCCAGATCAGCTTCTCTGATTGGATGATGCGACGTGTTGAGCCGCAAAAGTTCAATTTTTCCATCGTGAGATGCTTAAACGCTCTCGACGGGCTGCTTCAGCTGCTTTAGCTGCGCCTGCTGCTCAAAACGCGCTGTGGGACCTTTTGCTGAACCTAGACTCGCGTCAACCATTGACTTTGCATGTAAACTCACTGCTCCTGCTGCTCCTGCTGTGTTCGGTGTGAACAAAGCATAAGGCATATTTCAGTCACTTCCCTCTGGTAGTAGGCTGCGGTCCATCAGGACCATAACCTCAAGAACAGTTTCTTCCCAGCCTTATCAACAAGGCCCAGGTGACCCCCCGTGACACTAGACACGGCCTCTCTCCCTCCCACATTCAGGACCTAGAAGCTGCACCAAAAAGCATCTCCAGACCTCGTGTTACATTAACACACAGTCTACTGTGTATATAGTCTATAGCTGTGTACTAGATATTGTATTTAGTATATTGTATGTTTTATATTGTATATAGCTATAGATTCTGTATTCTGTATATCTATCGAATTTGTCTGCACCATCAACACCAAGTCAAATTCCTTGGAAGTGCAAACCTACTTGGCAATAAATCTGATTTAGAACTTTGTAATTAAGGGATATATTCTTAAACTGAGTGGATATTTTAGTTTTATGTAGCCACATACCCACCTAAAAACATATTTAAAGTTTATTTTGTGTCACAGAAATCTTAAAAAGCAGGTGTTGATTATAATTATATCAAAATGAACAAAGGTATTTTTATACGATCAGAAAATAAGAGGTCCATGCAGTGGAGAGATTAAAATAATTTAACACTACACTGAAAATTAACTTATGGAGGAATGTCTGGTTTGACATTTTGACTGTTTCTAAAAAGTTTTTTTCAACATCACTTTATCCCTTTTGCTTTTACTAAAATAAAATGATTATGAAATAGATCTAAAACAACCTGTTATTCAAGGTTAAAACTTTCTAAGTTTAAACAACATAACTATAGAGATCTTGTCTGTTAAAACTCACCTTTCTCTCAGCTTACCGTACCTTTTAAAACCTCAACTGTCATGAAAACTTGAAGAAAAAGAGACAGATTGCAGTGATTAGCTGAAGTTTTAGTCATGTATTTTGGCTTGGTGTTAATAGTTAGACTGTGCCATCCCCCCTGTCATTCCCCCCGTCTCCCTCACCTCCACTGCTCTTCTGGCATTTTCTGCCTCACTACTTTGACACACAGTATCTGTTGGAAGTCAGCCAAGGCTCCACACATTTCAGATGTGTTGAAACTGAAGGCTTCAGAGGTTTGGTTAGACTACCTGCAGATTTGAAAACTCATCCTGATTCCCCCCAAAAACTTTGTGTTTCTCAGCATCACATATTGACTCTGTGGGCTTTTACAGACCCATAGTGACCTGTCTGAGGACAAACTTCTCAGAAATCGCTCATTGTAGACAAATTCTAAAAATACAGTTGTCTCAGGTACAGACTTAAATCTCTGAATCAGTTGCAGAAAGCAATGAGTACCAAGTATCTGTAGGAAAAGCAAATGGATTTCTGACTGCAGAATCCTTATACAGTATTTTATGTGATAGACGAACCCAAAGTTCGACATTTCTGTTATGAGGATAAATGTTTTTTTCAAATATTTTTTTGTACAAATAAGGATATGAAAAGTTTGACTAGCATACAATACATATTTACCTGCTTTTAAACCTACTACCTTAAATAGCATTGATTGCAACAGAGTGCCCTAAAACATCAGCGAATTGGAACTGATAAACACAGTTTGTATGTGTTTTGATGGAATAATATCAAACAGTAGTAAAACACATGTCATCTCAAGACACTTTACAATTCAACCAGATCAAACAGTCAAATTGATTCAAAGTTTTCTATCTGAGGAAAACGCCCTTTTAACACGAAGAAACCTCCAGCAGAACCAGACTCAGTATGAGCGCCCATTTGCAGAAGCCGACCTGGGTACAAGGAGACAGAAGCAGACATAGAAAAAGAAGCAGAGATACAAAAGTAAACTGTAAACCAGCTCCACAGGCAAATGATGAAAAAGGGGTCCCTATGTCCTCCAGCAGTCTAAGCCTATAGCAGCATAACTATAGAGATAGCTCGGGAGCAGCAGACAGATGAGA